AAAACTTTAAATCACATAATAAATGTCCATCAGTCTGCGCTTTGTTCAGACATCGAGACCAATCCTGGACCTGCATGTATACTATATAGATCCTAGCATGACAATAAGTGCACCATATAGTCAGGGAAATGAACTTATATTTGGCGAAACAGCAGGACAGCAATGTTTGGCCATGTGTTTATGTGCCCTCATATGCAATAAAAGACAGGGATTTACTCATCACAAGATTTGGTTCGGTTAATGAATGTTGGCAATGAATTATACTCAAACTTGGCACGTTCGACAAGCCAATCATTTCTAATGTTTACAGAACTGCCTACGCAACTTACAGTATTCAACACAGATTATATTCTCCAGTACAGTGAAAGCTATAGTGGCAGACTACTTGGAGAAAATCATATTGAAGGGTATCAGTACTGTGTACCATTTCATCGAGCATTTGAGTTGCTACTGACTGAAAACTTTGCTGCATTTATATTGACAATTGATTCCAATGCAGTTTGCATATATTCCATAAATGATGGGAAATACAAAATATTTGACTCTCATTCAAGGGATATATATGGTAGAAGCCATCCACAAGGGACTTGTGTATTGTTAGAGACAGCAACTATCGACCATGCATTTACAGTCATTATACGGTGAAAACAGTCAGTTTGAGCTACGAGGAGTAAATATTGAAGAACAACAAGCTTCTTTTCACCACGCCCAAAACCTTAGTGAAAACGGTATGCCTGGTAGTGGTAATGTCTCACAGGAAACTAATACATGTGCATGTGCATGTAGTTCTGACATTTCTCAATGTTGTGCAATTGCATTATATTCTATTTGTTACTCCACTATTAAGCCATGCAATTATTGGGATTCGAATACAGTTTCTGCAATTGCTTATTGGGGCACTATTTTGTATAACAACACTGGTATAAATATTTGGTCTTCAAGTACACTACCAAGGAAATATTTGAAAATGAAGTACATGTAAATTTACAAGCAAATTATCGAGGAGTATTAAGTGATAATGCAGAAAGCAGATTGGACATTGAACATTGTATATGTGATAATAATGAAAGCACAGGTTTTTTAATTTGGCTTGGAACTTCCTGTATTTCTTGCTTCATTAGTCGGTGGGGCCACCTGTGGTGCCCACCGACTCTAGGTTTGCCCTTTGGTATGCCACAAAATGACAAATTACGTCATTTTAATTACGTAATACTTACGAAATCAAAATCAAAATGGCGACCATGGAATAGCGTGCAAAAGTTCGCTATCGACTATTAGGTCCAGTCGTGTCTTTTCATTTGGGGTTTTTGAAATAAATATATTAAGAATTCACTAAAAGTTATCACGACGTTTTCACTGTTATGTTATCGAGCAGGGAAGTAGATAATTTGTACATAATTTCATATATTTGTATCGCGCGCGGCGGAGACACTGGGCGCGCAAATGTTGATGCTTTCTATATATTTACTATTGAATTTTCGAAATCTCGGGAGCGCAATTTCCAAACTTTCCAGTCAGTAATAATATTTTGGTCTTTTGGATCTACATATTGCTATACATAATACAGTCGCTTGGTAATCTCCTCTCACGAGGCATTATTGTATTACACAGACGTTATAATGTGTTTATTTTCGAAGGGAAGAATATTCTTGCCTTCCAGCCTTCGACGCACCGGTTGGTAACATTACACCAGCCGATCTGTGTAATGACAACAGGATAAACGCTTATAATTTTAACACATACGATAGATACTGTATACTATATGACTATTAAAACAACATTGCTACATGGTTGTACTTGTTTTAACTATTAGCGCTAACTGCCAGGCAAACTGCAAACTTCAAGATTCAATGTTTTCGGAAAAGCAAACACGCTGTTCTTAAGTGGTATCACTTGTGCTTAAAATTGCATATTTCCATCGCCCCAGCGACTTTACGCTCCGTGGAGCGTCTTGTTAGGTATTAATTAAATATCAATATGTTGTACAATTCTCAACACCCTCCCCCTGTTTGATTACGCAGTCAGCAAACAATAAATTGTGCTACTTATCAGTTCAGTCATCTTCACTTTTAACAACGTCTTTCACTCTTAATTCTGCCGCGACTGCAGAGTCTCTTCTTGGTCTCCACACCGATGCTTCAGGATTCAAGTCACTTTTTTCACGTTCGAGTTCGATAGGATTGTCACATGACAGTTCTAGTGGATACAAGTGTTGCACAGGACGCTCCAAATAACTTTTCCCAGCTCTCAACTTAGCTCCTCTAACGATTCCATCTTTTCCTTTGATAAACTCTTGTACTATTCCCAATTTCCATAGGTTTCGGTTCTTCTCATCACCACGAATTATAACAACTTCGCCTACTTTTAGATCACAATCCTTCGAGCCGTCAGTTTTGTTCACGCAATGTCGTTCCCTCAATCCACGAATGTATTCTTTCGCCCAACGCAACTACATTGCTTCCTTACATTTGGCTAAATACTTCGCTCTCTTTCTCAAACTCTGATCTTCCAAGTGGTGGTGTTTCAGCTCCGGTAGTTGATTGGTTTGACTAAACAGCATCGAGTTCGGAGTTAGTATAGGTTGCTGAATATCTTCTTCAACATAGCAAAGTGGTCGTTCATTCAAGGCAACCTCAACATCGATCAATACTTCCTCTAGTTCTTCCCAAAAGAGTCCGCCCCGTCCTATCGACTTGTAAAGAGCTCGCTTGACCAACCCAACTAGGCGTTCAAACTGCCCGCCCCACCAAGGGGCGCGGCTTAGGTTGAATTGCCACTGTATATTATTCTTGGCGAGGAAATCACTGAACTTCTCGTCTTTCATGACCTTGCGTAACCAGTTAGCAGCGCCAACAAATGTACTCCCATTGTCCGAGTATACCTTTGTAGGTCTGCCCTTTCTCGCGACGAATTTCTTGAAGCTCCTTATAAAAACATCCATCTCCAAGGTTGGCAACAGCTCTAAGTAGACCGCTCTAGTGAGACTGCATGTGTAGAGCAGTATATATGCTTTTCGTTCCTTCTTGTTCTTTGCTTTGTACATCAGCGGTCCAGCGTAATCGACGCCAATTACCTCAAAGGGTGTTATCCCTTCTGAGATAGATAGATAGATAGATAGATTTAATAAAATACTTCGCAGCCATAGGCTGAATTGCGTATTTTTTTTACAAGTAAATTTAACTAATTACGAGAATATAAAAGAAGAGTTTATCAAGCCAATATGATGACATTCCATATAAATATTATGTATACAAGATGTTTATTACTTTAATATACTAAAAAATTTAAAATTATTAAAAATATTAGGTCATTTCAATAGCATTAGATACATGATTTGCGGCACGAAGCCACAAAAAAACTAGTTTGAAAACGATTAGTGTTACATCTACGAATTTCAAATTTCCTATCGTTTCTTAAATCATAAAAAGAAGTATGTATAGGTGGCAGTAAACTTCGTAACTTATGATTTTCATCAGCAACTACTGTTTGAAATAAACTAGTACAAATATTTTCATGATGAACAGACAGTGACTCCAATCCACAACTAATTAAAGCGTCTTCGTAATTAGTGTTTGGACAGATGATTCTAATAGCTCTTTTTTGTAATCTTTCCAATTCGGAATGCAAGTATTTTGGCAACGAATAGTAAATGACAGGGATACCATAGTCGATAACAGATCGAATACATGTAACATAAAATAGAACCAGATCATTCCAAGGAATACTGGCCCGTTTGAGTTGGATCAGGTAATAGATTCGTTTGGATACTTTTTTAACTACCTCTTCGATATGTAGATTCCACGTCAGGTTATTATCGAATGACAAGCCCAGAAGTTTAACGGATTTTACGACTCTAATACTTTTATTGTTAATAAGTATCGGGTTAAAATCACGAGGGACTTTTGAGAAGGAAATGGTTCGACTTCTTGGCAACAGTCCTGGCGGAGGACTTGCCATGGCCACTGCTTGGAAGCGTTTGCATCCTGCACAACGGTTGATAAGACGCTTCACGAGTCGTCTTAGACGAGGGATCCAATGCTGTTCTCGTATCTTTGTCATTGTAAGACCCACTCCCCCGTGTAGAGTGTTCTTGTGGGCATGTTCGACAAGTTTCTCAGCGTAAATCGATGTGTCCGGGATATACACTGGATAATGGACTTGCAATCGACCTCTACACTCTAGTACTCCGTCTTTATTTGTTTGTAAGTTCAGCTTCAAACGATCTTCTTCCACTCGTTCCGGATAGTTGTTCTGGACTCTCCGTATCCAGAATTGTCTCTGCTCTGCAATCTCCCGCGCTGTGATTGGTCCCGCTGTTCTGCTCGTTTTGGGATTTCTTGCATTTCGAACGAATCTCATCAGCCATGCGCACACTTTCAGGGTTCTCCACAAGGTGGTTTTCGTAAGAAGG